TCATGGGAAGCCACTTTGAAGATATCAATATGTAATACAACCACCATTGTTAATTCCCTACCACTTTGTTTGTAACTCTATTGTCTGTATTGTGCTTGTGATATGTTGTAAAATGTTGTATGTCTGTTAATGTTTCCCTCCTTTTATCTTTAAAATAAAAAAAAAAAGCTCCACAGATTAAAGAAACTACATGAAAACTGTAAGATAAAAGAAATGGCTTAATGTATATAAAAATTGTATAGGTGTCAAGATGACTGATTTAAGTTAAAGGAGCCTATGCTAGTAAATCAAGTGATTGGTATAAAGTATTTAAATAACTGGATCCAATATTAATGATTCCAGTGATGTAATATTTTTACATGGGTGCAGAATATTCCCATAAGATATTGCATGAATGACACTATATGTTCTTAAAGTTAATGCCTCTATTTCATAGTTTTAAAATGTTATAAAGGCAATTAGGTTCACTGAGTAACTTACATTTTGCTGTAAACCACAAATTATTTGCAAATGTATTTGCTATTAATCAGGTTAAAGTTACACCAAAAATATTAGCTATTGTCCTTTGGTCTTCTAAATATCAAAATATTGTCAAACCAAGTTTTGGTTTTCAGAATTATTAGATTTTTTTCTTATTCACTAGGAACTTTTCAGTCTACATCTTTATCTATTATGAAGTTCTGTGCAAGTATAATGAGCTCATTGCATTCTAGAGCAGTGATGGAATGAAAACCTATGAAAACACTGTCTTTCACAGACACTTGTGTAAATGCTCGTGCATTCTTAAAACCTGGAAACTTGCAGTGGGTTGTGGCTAAAAATAATCATGTCAACTTAAAGCATTCATGGGTCACAAGTGCTGTGACAGATGTGTAGCCAGCACATTACGGCTGCTTTACTTCTCAAATCGATTAACAATGTATTAGAAATATGTTCTTTGCTCAGATTGTTAGTTTTCCTTTGTTTTGGAGAAGATGATGGTACATGTGTAAGCTGGTGTGGGAAAGATTAAGAATATTCAAGGAAAATTTCTTGGAAAGAGTAAGTGGAAGTGAACTGACTTGAAAGGTGAAGGCAATTAGACTGAACGGCAGGTTGAATCCTGCCAGGAATAGTAACCACGGGGTGAGAGCTTTGGCAGTGCAGAGTTAAGGGCAGTTCGATGTCTCCCAACAAGTTGTGTCCTGAGGAGGATCCATTCCTTTCAAACTCAGTGAGTGTCAGTTAAATGTATGTTGGATTACCCCTGTAAATTATAGCTCAGAGAATAAAAATTACGGTTCAAGTTAGAGGGGAGGTTGTGCATTCAGGAGGGACCAAGAAATTACTGATACTCCTTTGACGATTCCCAGTTTCTTGATCTATGGCTTTGCATTAAAAGTAAGAGAAATATGAATAAAAAGTTGTATGAATAGATTTTTAATTACTTCCTCTTTTTTCTGATCAGAATAAAAATAATTCAAGGTCTGGCTCCCAGTTATCCTAGCTTAGGTAAGTACATTTTATTCTTTAAACCAAGAAAGTTTCCTGGCCTTATATTTACTTTGGGAATCTAACATTAACTTCTGTAAAATAATATAAAATAACAGAAAACTAATACACCTTTCTCTGGAGTCTTTTATATTATGTTTGATCACTGCTATTGCTTGAGAGTATCACTTCTTTGTAAACTGTATATCCCCTTCAGTGAGGCTATCTTTTAATGGTCTGTCTTTTTTCCCTGGATAACATGATAGAGTTCTATCTATTCTTAGAGTTCCCTTTAGGTTTGTGTAGTCTCGCTTTCTCTGTTGTTATAGCAGGCTTAAGTAATTGATGACAATCATGCACTGATGTTCACAGGGTAGCTTTAACTTCCTTTTAGAGTCTAGCACAATGATTTCTTCTAGGTAATTCATCACTTCTATTGTAGTTTTCCAGCTCATGCATGGTGCTCTGATAATGCTGCTTCACTGAATATTAAATGTGTGAGAGCAACTGATTTTATGCCTCAGCTGATTATGAAAAATTCAATTTTTGTGTAAGAATGATAATAGTGGAATAGAAGCAAATAATAGCCCTGACATCCATAAGCAAAATAAAGCAAAAGTGCAAGCAAGCCTTTGAGGGAAAGATAGCCCATGAAATAACGAATGGGGACATAGCAAGAAGCCCTACTAGTCAGGGGTACTCAAATTCTAAAGAAGTGATGGAGGTGCCATGAGGTCCCACATCTGGACTCCAATTTAGTGTGTTGGTAAAGCTAGGTAAAGATTTCAAGATTTTGTAAGATGCACTTAATAATTTTTAGACATTCTTAAATGATAAATAAGACAATAAAAATGAGATTGGATTCATGTAGGAGAATGTATTTTTTTCCCTAAGTCCTCACGGAAATAGAATTACAAGAATGTATTCTCTGCTACCAAATTGTGTTCCAAGTATGATAAAGACCGATCCAAGTGAACTGCTCAGATAATCCAGTGATGGTCATCTACAAGCAGATAGATGGTGTAACTCTTCCGACTGTTGCCCCTTTCCTGGGACACATACTTGAGTAACTATGTTTTGAGAATTCTTCTTCACAATTATATCATTCATTACAAGAACCACATCGAGAGTGCTTGGTTTGTGGGCTGTGGGTTGTACTAGAGGAATGCCCTGAGTTTACACACCAGCAGATGAAAGAGTAGCATAAGCGAGACTGGAAGAGTATAAAACTATTTAGAACTGTAATTTACACAGTCAACATTAGAAACAGTGATACCGAAACATCAAGTTCCTTCCAGTACCAGAATCTGTTAGCATTAGCAACAATAATAATAATGAACCAGAATCCTTAGCTGTATTTTTCAGTCAGTCTAAGAGGAGCCAGGCAGAAGATGCAAGCTATTTTTCCTAATTTTAGAATAGTAATGCAAGTATATAATCAAAAATTGGCGACTTCATCAAACTCACTTCAAGAGAAAGCTTGAGCTGAATGCTACATGAATATTCAGACAATAGCAACCTGTTTGAAATTGCTATTGGGTATAATTCCAAAATTTATGCATTTTATCATCTCCTGGGCATGAAGCCAAAGGCTAAAGGAGCAGAACATGAAAAAGTTGAACCTGAATTATGTTCCAAACCCTGTTGAGTTTAATTTTACTTACAAAGCAGAATGTTAGTTTGCCACTTAAATTTGCTTCTTCTAGTCCTGAAAAATACCTGGTTTATTGTTATCAGCCTCTAAATTGTGCTATTCATTTGGAAAGCTCCAATTTTAAAAACATCATTCTAAATTACTAGGCAAGTGCACACAATAAATAGACATAATCTCAGATAGACCAGATCAAGGGAAAAAGCCATTTCCTATAAATTTGACTGTGGTGTAGAGTTTGCAGTTCTGTGAGCCTTATATCTTCAGAGGACACAAAGGAAAATTTTTAGCTAACTGGAATGGAAAGTAGGCAAGGATGACTGCCTTAAAAACTTTGTGTTTTATAATAAGGAAATACAGTACACAATCTTGATACAAATTTGGATAAAAGATCAAACAGCTTTCGCAGCAGTCACAAACGCACAAAAAAGAATTAGATGCTACTCACTCAGATACATACTTCATTTAAAACATTTTACTTGAACCAATGATGAATGCATTACAAAATCATCAGTAAGCATTTGCTGAGAAGTACAGCTAAAACAAAGAGATGGAAGTGCTCACTATATGCCATATGTCTATTGCACAAGATTTTTATAACAATGCTTCGTTATAATTATAGCGGTAATACATTTCAAATGGATAAAAGATGAATTAATCTAAAATATAATTGCTAATTTTTTTTAACTTGTAAACACAGTATAAGGGGTCTGAGCATGCAAAATTCTTATCATTCCTAATGTAGAAGATCAAAACGGGAGAGACAGGAGGGAATCTGGTAATATTCTAATTCTTGATTTATATGACAGTTATATGATGTGTTGGTTTTATCACTATACATTTAGCTGTGTACCTGTACACAACTGATTTCAGAAAACACCGGTAGGTATACTATTATTTAATTTAAAGCTGAAAGAAGGAGGAGGAGGGAAGGGAGAATAAAAATGCAAATGAAGGAAGGATGGAGAAAGGAAAAAGGAAGGAAGGGAAGTGCATATTAGGATCCCCATTTCTCGTACTGGGGAATACTGTGCTAAAGGACATGGATGTTTTCGTTATTTGCTTAATTAAAATAAGGTGTAGCTTTGTAAAACTGAAGAATTTAGTGGTGTGATTCATCATTGACAACCATTTAACTGTCAATGTCTGTTTGGAATCTGTATGTTGACATTTTTAGCCTTTTAAAACATCCCTGTCACTTATCAATTGTAAATGTCACCATCATACACACACAGTTTTCTTGGTTTTGGTAGTTGGATTCAGAAGTTAGTGGAAGAAAAAAATGCCTGGAGTTACACTAGATTTGCACTTGAAAAACACACAAACACACCAATTTTATCTCTATAGTTCAAGAGTCTAAGTAACTCTCCTGTTTAGAGTTTCTGCTTGGTATTAAGTTGGCTTGTCACTTAGTGACCACTTAATACTACTAAAAGTGTTTTGCACCCTGAAGTTGGATTTGTTGATTTTGTCTGTTACTGAGAAACAGTTTTCCATGTAATTGTTCCAAAGGCAAAAAGTTAAGCAAAAAATGACATATACTGTAAAATTGAAAATAAAATGCACAGTACTGATGTGCTCAAAGTCCATGCATTTAAATTCCTTTGTATGATAATTTATGGTGATCATGTCTTCAGACTGCACTATTAGCATACTCACCCCTAACAAGAAGTTCTGCCTCATCTGACACACTGTCTGCTGTGGTCTGTACCCTGCAGCCATATCTCCCAGCATGCATCAGAAGGATGTTCCTGATCATTAAATCTGCAGAGGATGCTTGCTGAAAGAGGGATGAAGTGCCAGTTTAAAATGTTGCAAATCTGCCTAGTTCAAGGTGGCTTAAGGGGGAACTTTGCATATTTAGTCAAGGGCCCATTTTTGGCCTTACAATTTATAGGATAACAATTCAGATATCAAACACGCCCTATCTTAAGGAATACATGGAAGTTATGCTTTTCACAATCGCTAATAAAGAGTTTGAACATTTAGTATTGCATATAATGATTGAGCAGCTAAGATAGTCGAGAAATATTTAAATATACACAAACAAACTCTTATTTTTTAAATTATAGGAAAAATAATCGGTAAGCAAAAAAATGATTGCTTTGCTATTCAGAGAGAGGCCTATTTTTTGTGGCAAGAAAATTGTACTGAAAGGAATAGCAAGTTGTGGGAAATTAATTGAGAAGGTAGCTGTCAAAAGATTCTCTCTTGTCACTCTTGCTGAACGGTTCCTTTTGTAAGTACACCGTGGGCAACAGAGTAAGGAGACAGGGCTCAGGAGGAAGATTGCTGGTCCCAAGCCACGTGTATCTTTATTTAATAAAAGTTCCTTGCATAGCCACTGTCATCAGAGAGCAGGTCAGCCTAAATCTTTGTTAATGTGGTTATAAAACACAAAGGAGGCCAAAAACACCGGATTCTTCTAGGCAGCAAGAAGATTAAAACACCGTCAAAGAATACTGCATTTAAGGAGATCAATAAATACCAGGCAGGGTATCTTTTAGATGTTTTTGTTCACAGGATCAGTGATGAACAGTGATACTTTATTTTTTTTTTGGTTTTTCTCTGGTACTGGGAACCGAACTCACGACCTTGCGCTTGCCAGGCAGGCGCTTTTGCCGCTGAGCTAAATCCCCAGCCCCCAGTGATACTTTAAAATGACTGATACAAACCCTTAATTACTCACTTAGGACTTTTGTTGACTCTATTGGAAAAGAGATTTATTGGGATCATATAAAGATCCAGCACTTATCATAACTCAGGATGTATGTTTTTTTATAAGGATAAAGCAAAACTGCAACAAACCCTCACTTTCCATCTTACAGTCCAGCAACATTTGACTTGAGTGAGGGAAGATGTATGCAGCTTGACATGATATCTTCAAATTAATAAAAACTTTTCTCCAACAGTACCTGAGCATATGAAAATGTGTTCAGTGAATGTCATCATCATCCCAGATTAGGTAGCTTTTGGGTTTCAATGGAATGAAAGCGAATTACCTTAAAAAATAAAGTGTTCTTAAAAGCCAGGGTCCTGATAATTATTTAAGAATATTATTGTGAATATTCGTATTGTGAATATTCTTATGTAATATTGTGAATATTATTTATGAAAATTATGAAAACAAATTTAACTTCTGGAAATCCTTTGAAATTTTTTTGTTTTTTCCTAGTATCATAGAAAGGATGTTAAATCATAGTGAGATTTTTACCAAACAGCATTCTTTTCATTTGATTAATCTATTATATGTTATGTTAAGACCCCTGCTTGCTGGTATTCAATTATTTACCCTTCCTGTTAGTCTTATGATAAGAACTTCAGAGGTCAAAGAAGTTTTTTCTCATGAGATAATTGTTGAGACATGGTCCAGTTTAGTCATTTACAAGGAAATGCTTCATGGTGAGAGTGCATTAAAATGTCATAACAATTATTTCATGGAATGTGATCTTTGTCCAGTGAATGTCATACACTGCTAATTGCCTTAGGATACATTGTTACTCTCAAATTCTAAAACAAAATCATCTCATTTTCACCAGACTACGTTCTCTCTTTCAAATCTGTAAAGAAAATTTTGATCTTTTTATGGAGCAGAAAAGCAAACTGTACACAGAATCAGTTTCAAATCATGGCGCCTACATATTTATCACAGTGTGTAGTGTGGGCTCACCTTCCCTACTCCTTCCAGGTTCCTGGGGAGCTCATTTAAAGGGGTGCTCACTTAAATTAATCAGGAACCACTGTGCACATTAATGAGACCCACTTGTAATAGGAAAGATCAGGAAAGGTCACAGAAAATTAGGGAGGATTTGACTTTTTCAATAACTATGTCTGAATAAAAGACTGCCTGCTTTTTTTCTGTTTTGCTGTAGCCTTTTGCTTATTTTTGATAAGTACCACACACCATATTGGTAGCAAGTTGACAAAAGAAAATGTACTGATTATAAATCACTATTCAAGGTCATGTTTAAAAATTATTTTGTAAAATTACATTCCTACAATGAAATAATTGACTTGTCATTTCACCAACTTTTTCCTCCCTGGTAATTTGTTTCTTTTTGTCCTGAAAAAGAGTCCTCAAACCTTTTTCTTTCTCTGGAATTACATTGAAAGTGATACTTAATGGGATGAAGGGATTTAGTTAAAAATCACATAAAAGCCCAAAGAATTCAGGTGGGCAAGGAACAAATGATCTTTCGTTTGCTGTCCTTTAACTTAGTTCCTGCAATTAATAGTGTGCAGTGCTATCTAAACTGGCAAAAGCACCATCCTCATCTATGAGGAGTAAAACTACAACCTTTTGCATACCTGCCCATTAAAAGACTATTTGAGGAGTTAAAAATCATCTACTTTTGAGCCTGTCCTTTCCCTGTGGATTATATCTGCATCATATTTTTCAAAGCCTAAACAGAGAAGATTAAAAGTACCAGAAATGGTTTGTGAACCTAAACCTAAATTACCCTTTCAGTAGATTTACTGTTCTTTCAAGAGAAGTAATGAGAAGAATTCATGTGGGAGCCCATTACCCTTAATCTCAGCCCACAGCGTGCAGCTCCAGAGAGAGAACCACGGCAATTTAGCGCACTTTTAATGAAATGGTTACTTACAGCAGATACTTGGTTTCTTAAGCCTAGACCTCATTTCTCCTTTTTATCTCTTAGGTTTAGTCTTTCTTTTCTTGTTTACTTTGACACTCACTTTATTTTCGCTTTTTTCTATCCCTGCTTTCTTTGCCTTTATGAATAAACCCTGTTACCTGTTGCTTCAAATACACATCCCCCAGGTGGGCGTCCATCCCACCTGGTGGGAGTAAACCATGCTGTTAAATGAATATTTGCTTCCTAAGAGAGAGGCTGTGAGAACAGCAACATGTCTGTGTCACTCATCGACATTTCCTGGGCACATAACCTCATTAGAACAGCTGCTAGATTATCTTGACTTTTATTTACAATTTTGAACAGGAAAATGCTGTCTTTCCACCCAAATCTTCTTCTTTAGCAGCATTTCTTTTGACTATGTCCTGCTCATCCACCATAACCTGCCAGTTCCATTCCCAACAACTGGAATCTCATTTTTCTTTGCTGTTCAGTGTCTGCTGGTTCTCACTGCCTTTAGGAAAAGGTCCAGTTTCTTTATTTTGACATACAAGGTTCTTAAAGCGTCATTCTACCTCCTGCAAATGAATCTTAGGCATTCTCTGACCTCAGCCTCATAGCTGCCTGTCCTTGGCAATTCCTCCCATGACTGTGTTCTGCACAGCTCTTTGTTCTGTTGCACAGGTTCTTTCTCTTGTCTTTGACTGCAGACATTCAGGCACAGCTCAGGTGCCACTGTGTTGGTCACGACTTCCTGGACTCCTCCTTGCCTTCCTTAGATGTGCCCCTGTTGTGTTGAATGTCACCTGGCTCATGTCTCTGAAGTGGCACTCGCTGAGAAGGGGTCCTGCTTGGTCCAGTATGAATATTCCCAGAGCCAAGCCAGAAAGCAGTGCAGCTGATGATCATTAACGAAGCTAATGCATGTGTGAACAGCGTCCTCCCTTTGTGGCTGACAATACCTCTTCCCACCCTCCTATCATTTCCACAAAGAAACGAAGGAAAAATAGAGACTACATAGGAAGACAGTGGAAGAAAGCACTTAAAGCACAGACGCACAGAATCTACACAGGGGACAGTACAGAACCGGGCGAGTCCTTGTGCTACCAATTATTAAATGTTGAACTTGGGAAAATTGCTCTACCGTTCAGAGTTTTTCTGAGAGTTTCAATGTGATAATGAGACTAAAGCCCATAGCAGAGTGTATGATACACAGGAAGTGTTTGAAAAATGTTATCTGTTAAAGGGCACTACAATTGCACTCTTAACCAAGAGGAATATTTCCTCAATCGGTATTCATTGTCTCAACAAACTGGACATCAATGTGTTCCATAGTTACAGTAATTTTCTTACCTGGGTTTTTTTGTTTGTTTGTTTGTTTGTTTGTTTTCCAGTACCAGGAATCAAACTCATGACCTTGCGCTTGCCAGGCAGGTGCTGTGACACTGAGCTATATCCCCAGCCCTCCAGTAATTTTTTGATAAGTAGTTAGCTTTATTTTTGATATAAATATTCCCCATTTCCTTGCTCTTTTTTATAGAATGGTAGACTTAGAATTAGATGAACTGAAAGTCTAGCCTTGTCTCATGGCCTTCTACATAGTCCTGAGACCATGGAGAAGTCACTTTATTGGGATAATAACACCTGCACTATCTCTCTCATGGAATATGGTGGGAAATTTACTGAGATAAATTATTAGTACTTCAAACATGTGACATTTTTAAAGCATGTGATAGCAGAAAGTGGTACACACAGTAAACACTCTAAGATGCTTGGTAAAAGAACAATTTGAAAATGAGATAACTTTTCATAAGTAGTAAACTCATGTGGAATGACACAGTCTGAAGGCTTCTGGGAATGGCAGTTTCTTTCCCCCAGTTAGGGTTATTTCACCTTTGAACAACCTCATACAGGACAGTTCCAGCATGCCCAAACATAGCTATAAATCCTATGAGATGTAATTTTTAAAATCTTACCTAATGTAAAAACAGAGTACTACTGTGAGATGTAGATTATTAGATATGATTAATGTTATTGACATAAAATTTTAGTGAAACTTTTTTCTCAGAAACAATATATACAAAGATCTTTTCTTAAACTCATACAGTAGGGTTCCGATTAACGATGGTTAATGATGGTATGGGTTGTAACATCGTTTTTAGAAAATAGATATTGATTAGCATGC